TCATCACAAACATACAGGGGTCATCTCAAACATGCAGGTGTCATCACAAACACACACAGGGGTCATCACAAACACATGCAGTGATCATCACAAACACATGCAGTGATCATCACAGACATACAGGGGTCATCACAAACACATGCAGTGATCATCACAAACACATGCAGTGATCATCACAAACACATGCAGTGATCATCACAAACACATGCAGGGGTCATCACAAACACATGCAGTGATCATCACAAACACATGCAGTGATCATCACAAACACATGCAGGGGTCATCACAAACATACAGGGGTCATCACAACAAACAAATGTTGATTATGAACAGACGTGCTTGTTACTGTTTCGTGTACAATATATTGTTGGCTGATGTGATCTTTATGTTTTCCATGGAATTGGGGGAATATTAGGTTCAAATGATGATTTCATATAAATACAATTGCGGTTTGAGCACGTTAAACATTTTAAATGTTCTTTTTCGTGCCCCATGAACGCAAATGACGTGTCTAGGTTCAGATGTACGTGTCTGTTCCCTCAGTCTATATAACATTATCTAACCTAAAGGATATGTCATAGATAATCACTAAAATACCATCGATGACAACCGTTCCAATACACTGCCCTGACTTAAAAAAAATAAAAACTAACAATGAAAAGCGTTAGATTCATTTTTCTGTTTGACGGACACGTAAGTATGTATTAGGCTTGGTTGACAGGCTTCATCATGGAGATCAACAGTCAGATAACGTCCCTTTGGAAATAGGGGTAATTGACACTGGCTAATGATATCTGACCTCGGGATAGTTAATGGTAGTCATAGTTTTCTCGGTGTATGTCAGGCTAATTTGTAGTCACCATATGTAACCCACGGCTCAAATTGATTGGCGATGGTTATTCATTTATCAGACTGTCGACGGAGCATCGCCGCTGTGACGTCCTAAACTTGCCATGCTGACGCAGTTGCAGAACCCCGATAGGCCATATTGATTGTATCAAAATACATCTGTTGCAAATGGTACAAAATACACATGGCCTGAAGGTAAACTCACATATTATCATTGTTTGATTTAAATCTGAATGGTTTTACAGAACAGAAAGTTCCAAAACTATGAACCATAAAATAAGGAAAACATGATCAAATACCACGAAACAAATTAATTCCAATAGGTCTATTCCGAGTAAAATCGCCAGAAATATAACAGTACCAAACACGATAATAACAACCACCAACCCCCACCCCTACCTCAATTTTTAACTCTTATGAACAATTATACAATCATGGCAAAAGTCTGCACAAGGAATTACGAGGACATCACTTTCGTCATTGATGCGTTACATATTTAAATGTCCTCCGCTTGTTTACAGTAGCACCTTTTGAATGCTTTTCCATCAAATAAATTCTTTAAATAGGTGTTGGTTATCGTAACCCTGATCCTACTTTTGAGCAGAAGGTGTATGGCACTCTTTGAAACCTTCGTAAACAGAGCTTGATCGATTGTACTCCAAAGGTCATGGAATGTAGACATCAAGCTCTGGACTTGCTGCAAGGTAAAGGTGACTAGTGGAAAATTGAAGTCATCAATCTTGTCACAGAGTCGTGTGTACCGCTTCCTCACGTGGACATGGTTTTCAAGTGAAGGAGGAATAGCGAGTGAGCGAGATTAGTTTTACGCCGCACTCAGCAATATTCCAGCTATATGGCGGCGGTCTGTAAATAATCGAGTCTGGACCAGACAATCCAGTGATAAACAACATGAGCATCGATCTGCGCAATTGGGAACCGATGACATGTGTCAACCAAGTCAGCGAGCCTGACCACCCGATCCCGTTAGTCGCCTCTTACGACAAGCATGGGTTACTGAAGATCAATATTCTAACCCGGACTTCACGGGTTGGGAGGAATAGAGGTATCGCATGATAGTAACACCTGGCATTGGGATAGCGATGTGACAAAGACATTTAGGACATGTTCTAACGTATGATGTTGTCGAGGGTTGTCTATAGTATCAATGGTTTCTTGGTCAAGACGCAATTGCTTCCTGCCGCTCAACAACTCAGCCACTCAGTCGTACACATTCATTTTATGTGATGGTAAAGGTTTTGTATTCAGCTTCTTGTACCTTATTGTGGATTGTTTTCATGATATATATACACAAATGTTAGTGAACAAGTAATTGTTAACAATTTATTATTGAAACTTGCAACGTTCTCAGGAACTGCCAGTAATAACTCATGGCAATTTCTCCTTGGCCTTTACCGTTGACAACAAAAAGCTTCCATTGAGTATCATTATTACCGACTTTCAGAAATGTCCAAAGGTAATGACGATGATATTGCTTTTCCTGAAGACTGTATTTCCTGAAGCGTGGTAAAGTACCAAAGCTGTGGAATAAAATAAATGGATCTCAGTCTTATTATTGTCATCATTGTGAAAACAATGCGATTCCACCCGATACCTATACTTCTGGAAGGGTTCATCATTAATCATTTTGAATAATATTGTTCAGAAAGTTCAGGTGAGGTGAGGTGAAATTGGGTTTTACGTCGTGCTTGAGAATATTTCGCTCATATGACGATAGAAAGTTCAGATACATATAAGGTTAACAACTGCCTCATGCTAGCAGCCAATGCTTCAAACATACAATAAGGACAGGTGCGTGACTAAAACATGCGTCACTGAATGTCATCGTTGACGGTGTTATGCTTACCTCGGGTATGCTTACCTTACATACTGTTACCAGGATACAATTATTTAATTTTTTACGGGAAAATCATATTTGAGGCGAAACAATGTTATACATAATAAGTCAATAATATGCAGTTTGCAATAAAAGCATAAAACAATTTTAAAAATAATTCATAATATTCTTGAGATGGCGATAACAGTTATTATTATTGATGGTCACCCTGTGGTATATTATAATCATCCGGTACAGGAATGGTGGGGTAGCCCAGTGGTTAAAGCGTTTGTCGAAGACCCGGGTTCGAAATCCCACATGGATGCAGCATGTGAAGCCCATTTTTGGTGTCGTCATATTGCTGGAATATTGCTAAAAGCGGCGTAAAACTAAACTCACTCACTCACTCATCCGGCACATAATCAACCCTTACGATATACACAATGATACAGTCATTACACTATATGAAATCGATTTTGTTATGATCCTTCAGCTTAATATAAACGGCAACAGCAACAACGACGCTACGAGCAAGTAATTACATGTACATTGTTGAATCCTGAAAAGGACCACAGGTGCAATTGGCTACAGTGGAGGGTTCCTCTATCTGTCCACGGTCCCCTCTTCTTTTTGCCAGATAAAATTTCTCATTGTCGTTTATAAGCGTTGAAGCAGTGAAACGTCGTTCCCACGCCGGCGACAATGCGTCCATTTGCGAGTTAGATGATCGTCACCTCGATGCCTTTCTCATGTACTGAATAGGTGTTATGGCGGTTTCGTGGTAAGACTGGCTTTCGGAATGGTTAGTGTCTTAACAAACGACTCTGGATAGGTACTAGATTTGACAGATTCATGACCTATTCGTGGTATCGAAAGACAATGGTTATCGAGGGGTTTGATTCACTAGACGGTTCACCTGTTTGATATTACGTGTTGATGTGACAAGGGAGTGTGGTGTGTGAGTGAATGGGACTTATTGAACGCCGGTTTCACTCCTATATCACCCACATCAAGACGCTGGACTCCACTGGTGTGACAACAAAATTGAAACCTGTCGTATTATTGATAGTACCAATAAAAGTAATACCAATACTATTTTTGTAATATCAATTTTCCAGGAAGGAATGTATGTGCAGTGTGCTGAGAGGAAGACCAATGAGTCCTTCACTTGGAATGAAAACTGAAACAAGAGGCTTTCTCATTGCTGCTTAGGCCTGTCAGGTCTTAATCGAAATTGTTTCATATGTGATTTTTCATCAAAATGTTAATATGAAATACACAATGATTATGCAATGAATTTGGTGCAACCGTTCAATACCTTGGCAGTTGATACCCAGCGTATTTTAAGCGATATGATTATGTTCCTGGATCATCTTTGTGGCCATGTCCATACAAGGTTCCACATCGTAAATATGTTATTTTAAAAATTCCTTTGAATATTCATGCACGCAGTCTCAGACTCATCAAGGTAAAAAAACTGACACATTCGGTTTTTGAGAAATCAAATAAAATCATTTATTTCTAATTCATTTTGGCACTAATGTGATTGATAAGATTCAGTATGACCAATATTCGGAACTCGCATACTAAATGTCATGAATACCAAGTTTAAAGAATCGCCATAGTTTTAGTGCCTTAGGTTTGGTACCTCCCAATATCTTGATTGGTAATTGAAGTGTACCCGGCTTTGCTGCTAGGAACACATCACTTAGGACACTGGGTGATACAGAAGGCTGCAGTGTTGGGGAGTTTTCACATTATCGGAAATGTTCAAGAGTTCTACTGAGCCGCGCCTCCAAGGAGACGTGTGTGTGTGTGTTGGGGGGGAGGAGCAATGGGGAGAGGGCCCAGCTAGTCTGTCCCAGGATTAATCGAACCCTCTCTGGTGCTTATATTTTTTCTAATCTGTGAATAATAATAATGATAATAATGATAATGTCCATCCATGGTACGACCCTGAATATCTCCAGGGCGTCAAGGAAAATGACAATTTTAATACTTCTTTGGAATACGCCATATTACTCATCAGAAGAATTGCCAACAAACCTTATTTTGTCCTTTTTGATAAAGACAATGAGTTTATTTATGGTTGTCATTAAATTTCCTGTCCCTATTGACAGCAACGTGATTACTTGTTTGAGTGGCATTTTAGAAGTTGGGACGTACAATATTGAACAAACGTTATGGATAATAACGAAATAAAGAAGTTGTTCCCATAAAGTTTGTTAAATACAGCAATGTGATTAATAAGATTTAGGAAAACCAGGGTAAATATGCGGACCTAGCCTTTGAAACATCTCGCTTGCATCCCAAGTACACTGTCGTCAGACTTCCCATTGTTCGCGGTGCCCTTGGTTTGGTATCTCCTGATCCCCATTCGCAGATCCACCGGGCAGATGGCTGCAGTGTTGGGGAGTCTCCATATTCTCCGGAAACCTCTGGGTGGGGTCGTCTGGGCAGCGCTTCCTGGGAGAAGTCCCATTCGCTGTCTGGGCTGCGTATAGAAGGGACACGGGCCCTGAGCTGATGATGAGCCGTACGAGAATGACTGTGCCAGGATCACCCGAACCCTCTCTGCTGCATACTATCTTTAATCTGTAAAAAATAATAATAGGTCAGGGCTATTGTCGAATCATGGAGCTAAACTTAAAGAACCTTATTATCATCCCGGACAGCGGACCAGTATTATGTTGAAATATATTGTCTCGTGCTCAGTTCTCTGACATACAATCTGAGCTATAGCTTTGTGACGCACCGGGGACACATATTTCAGACTACAAAAGTACTTTGCAGGAAAATGCATGACAGTTATAAAACGTTATGTTGGTTTCACCATCTGCCTTACTTTGTGTTTGATTGAAATAGCGATAATAATTTGCTAACCATCTGTGGTATACTGACATACATTTCAAACACATTTAGCTAACTTTTCAGAAAGCAGTTTGATTGTTACTTACAAAAACGCACCCAATCTATTTTCTTTCGATATACATCTGTTGCTTTACTGTTGCTTCGTTGCCTCCTTGAAGTGTTCCTTCACAATGCGCAAGGGTTTTCATGTATAGGACGTCAATCAAAAGCGTAAAAAAATATGCACCTAACATGACTTGCCCCGAGAGCAGAATGTGGGTTTAATAGGTGCATCATACTAAAAGACATTAAAAGATGAAATATGTTGTTACCATATCTAGTGCGCGGTAGTAGGGGATAAAACTAGGTCCAGAGTCGGTATACTGTTTCTGGCTATCCATTTTCAACTTCAACACGGGTCCTCAGTGGGCTAGTACTTTAAAAATGGCATAAGGTAATGGTTAGTAAAATACTCGGACCGGACAATCCACTGATCGACATCATAAGCATCGACCTACGAAAATGGGATACGATTACATGCATCAACCAGATCAGCAAGCATGACCACCCTGTTTGGTGCTTCGATAGACAAACATGGGCTGCTGTTCGAACCTGATTCCTGTGAATTCAATCCAGATGTGCAACGTTCATAGTTTTAAAGACGGAATCTGGAACACTGGCTTGGTCAAGGCGCTGTAGCTAGTACCATATGTGCATCGAGAGGCACGTGTAACCTGCACCCAGTGTTCGAAATAGCCACTGGCCCGCTAGCCCGTGGCTAGTTAAACTCCAATCGGGCCAGTAAGTCTCTAGATAGTCACTGGCCCGACTGGCTAGAGACTTTTTTCATGGGGTCATTTTGTAAATATATCACTCTCTCCGACTTGTTAAGTTATAACACACTTTTAAATCATTTTAGATTAAAGCCTGATAAAAATGTTCATCATATCAGCAGCTTAATGATGAAACCCGTGTCTACATTCATATTTCGGCTTGTGAATTAGTTTGCGCGCTAGTAACTTTCAGGCATAGCTAGCCTAAATGGCTAGCAAAATTTAGAAACTATTTCGCACACTGCCTGCACCTCATGCGTTTCGGGCATCATTAACTCACTCACTCTTAAACTGTGTCGACCCGTGAAGATCCGGGTTAGAATATTGATCTTCAGTAACCCATGCTTGTCGTAAGAGGCGACTGACGGGATCGGGTGGTCAGGCTCGCTGACATGGTTGACACATGTCATCGTATCCCAATTCCGTAGATCAATGTTCATGCTGTTGATCACTGGATTGTCTGGTCCAGACTCGATTATTTACAGACCGCCGCCATATAGCTGGAATATTGCTGAGTGCGGCGTACAACTGAACGCTTTCACTCACTCACTAAAACAGGGACAATGGTTTCCTGTAGTTAGAGTAATCATAAGCCTACAGAAGGATAAATATCGAAAGTTCTCACACAACTAATCCACAGCCAACAACTTCATATCAGCTTCCATGTGCAGCCAGTGTGACCTGACCATAATTCTTCAAAGCTTCAGATTCGCCAGAAATTATCATCTTAATGTAATTGCAAATTTCAGCAGTGCATATACACGATCAGTTAACCTATGATGTCCTAAGTGTTATCATAACACGCTTACCTTCTTCTGAAACACCTGGTGCTATCACAGATTTGAGCAGTGATCCAGGCGCATAGATTTCACCGCAGACCTTCACACACTGGGCGCATTAGAGGAATCGAACCGGGTCTTCATTATGATTAGCGAACACTTTAACCACTCGGCTACTCCACCGCCCCAGACACCATGGAACGGACAATAGCCTGATGCGCCAGACCTTATCTGTATATGTGTTTCGATACATCTGAAATGGTTCCTTTTTGTGACGCCAGCATACAAAACTTATTATATGAAGATATAGTAAACTATATGAATGTTTGTTGCGGGAGTTGAAATGAAATACCAGGTGTGACTCTGCTGGTTATGTGCCATCTAGTCACAAGATGGATCTGTGCTCATGATGTTAACCACTGGGCTGACTGACTGAGTATGGTTTAACGCCGTTTTTAGCAATATTCCAGCAATATCACGGCGGGGGACGCCAGAAATGGGCTTCACACATTGTTACCATGTGGGGAATCGAACCCGGGCCTTCGGCGTGACGAGCGAACGCTTTAACCACTAGGCTACCCCACCGCCCCTAACCACTGGGTCGAATGGACCTGACTTGATAATTAATAACCGCTCTTGAATAGCTTGAGGAAAATATATTCACCTAGACACAGACTGGAGTGGTACATATGACGAAGTATGTCAAATGAATTGTCATCAGGAGGGCAGGAAAGTTGTTAGTATGAAAATCATTGGAGTAATCCTATAATTAGTTGCTCCGGTCAATACAGTATTCGACCTGATAAACTGTGCACAGCTGAGGAATGTCTGACGTCAAGCACATGTTTAACCTACTATTGATGGGTACAAAATACATAAGCTACCATCTGGTTCACCTATTCATGTTGGGAATCTGCTGTGCTGCATCTAAAGACTTAGATATGTAGTATCCCATACGGCCTTCGGGACACACACATATGAAACCGTCACTCCGGTATATATGAACTTGCAACATTAGTACATGTAATTCAGGAGGATCATTGGCTACTGGAACCCTCTGTTGCTTAGTAACTAGTAACGTCACTGTGCCATATCTGTAATATGTACTTTACCACTGACTGACGTGACACTTTCAGTTAACGCTTACACAATACATACTCAATAATAACATACTCAATATTCTGCGGGTTAGACTGTAACTTAACCTTTCATCATATACAAAACGGTGTTCTTTAAGAATCCTTCCAGGCAGGTTTGATATATGAAGTGATCCTAATGGGACACATGAACGTGAGAAACAAAGCAAAATAAAACATTCATAGAAACAATTAACACACTCAGCACCAGCTATCCCCAGCAACCTCCTGTGGGAACGAGCTTGAAGAAAGTTTACAGGTAAGTAACATTTACGTGGCGCTATGTTACTAGAAAGATGAGGCGAAGGCAAACAATTTATATTATAGCTGCACACTATCTTAAAGGATGAGTCACTTATATCGCAAATATAGTTCAACCTATAAAACTGACTATCAATGATAATAATGATAATAATAAAAGCAGTTTAAAAAACAACACTACTTCTACTAATTTCCTGTGACTGCCACTGCTACTGTTACTGCTGCTACTACTGCTACTGCTACTGCTACTGTTATTGCTGCTGAAACTGCTACTGCTACTGCTACTGCTGCTGCTACTGCTGCTACTGCTACTGCTGCTGCTGCTACTGCTGCTGCTGCTGCTACTACTGCTGCTACTACTGCTGCTACTGCTACTGCTGCCGCTACTGCTACTGCTACTGCTGCTGCTTCTATTAATACTTTTACTACAAGATCTTACATAAAATGCATATTCTTATTAACTTTACTAAAATGGACCGGAATGGGACATAATTGAATGTTTTGTGCCTAAATATAAAGTTCCTCGTCGAATTGTATATACTCGATGAGGTTTAATGAAGAACAAGTACATGGAAGTTGGTGTTCTGATATTGATTGCGAATTGAACAGCAATTCATTCCGAAGCATATTCACAGGCATTTACGAGTTGTGATTGATCTAACGGATGATTCCATGGTTGAACATCAAAGACTTCCCACCTAATCAAAGATACAATTTTCTAGTCTTCTAATTTCGCGACTAATACTATAAAAAGGTCTTATTTACTCCTATGTGCGGGGACGGGGCAGGGAGGTGAGATCAATCCAACTAACCAGGGCAATTATAGAACCGTAGTCAATGCATAATGATAAGGCTGGTAATGCTTGGCCTAGCTTGTCATGTACTTCGGAATATGAAATCACGACAGGCGTGCGATGTATGTGTTATCCAAAGCTAAAATCTGACACAGCGAAGTATTAATGTCAACATTGAATCGCATTTCAAATCGCTGCATCCTCATTAATTATGGTGTATCTTTGCACCCATATTAATTGTGGTGTATCTCTGCATCCTTTTCAATTGTGGTGTATCTCTGCATCCTTTTCAACTGCGGTATATCGCTGCATCCTTTTCAGCTGCGGTATATATCTGCATCCCTATTAATTGTGATCTATCTCTGCATCCCTATTAATTGTGATCTATCTCTGCATCCCTATTAATTGTGATCTATCTCTGCATCCCTATTAATTGTGATCTATCTCTGCATCCCTATTAATTGTGATCTATCTGCATCCCTATTAATTGTGATCTATCTCTGCATCCCTATTAATTGTGATATATCTCTGCATCCCTTTGTGTGTATCTTTGCACCCATATTAATTGTGATATATCACTGTATCACTTTCAACCGTGGTATATCTCTGTATCCCTATTTATTGTGGTATATCTCTGCATCCCTTTCAACTGTGGTATATCTCTGCATCCTTATTAATTGTGGTACATTTCTGCAACCCTATAAATTGTGATACATCGCTGCATCCCTTTCAGCTGTGGTATATCTCTGCGTCCTTATTAAGTGGGATATATGTCTACAGCCCTATCAATCGTGGTATATCTCTGCATCGCTGTTAATTGCTGTGTATCTCTGCTTCCCGATTAATTCTAGTATATCTCTGTATTCAATGTTGTATATTTCTGCATCACTATGAATTGTGGTTTTCGCTGCATCCCCATTAATTGTGAATATATCTATGTATATATGTGACACATTCGCAACTGAAGGCAACTGAAAAGGAAATCAGTGGGTGGTTTAAGAACCACAAATGTAGTCTATTATATATTGCCACTGGTCATTAACAAATTGCTTCTAAGAGACATGCATTACTTTGATTCATCTCCATCACGAAGACCGTGATAACACATCTTGTACATTTCGTTAGTCCTTCGGCTCTCGTCGTCATGGTCATGCTTGTCATGGTCCTGTTGTTTGTCCAAGTCATGCGGGTTAGATGACCCACACGTTTAAGCGTTTCTTGGTCATGCTGGCGGTTTGGGTTCGATTTCGTATATTTCCTGAGTCAACCGACATTATTATGCTTGAATTTTGTGGCATTAGCGCTAGTCGTGAACCTATTTCAGTGAGCCTTCGTATTACATCATGACACGTGAATATTACCATTCTGTGGACTGGACTGACACTGTATCGGTAATTGCTCAACATAACCAGAATATACAAAATAGTCCTATATTTGGTGTCAGTGTTCTCGCCACATACTATAACTAGGCACATAAAGAAACTGTGCATACAAAAATTTAAAATCTAAATTTATCAAACCTGTGTAGACACATAAGGATTTAAACTCAGAGATTAGTGACATGTATCCAACATGCATGCACGTGCCACGTTCCGTGA